AGGCTGCAGGTGAGGATCTCTGAGCAGCACCGTCAAGGCAGTGGGAATCGCTTCTCCAAATAGGCCAGAGGGGAGGAAGGGACTCTGCAGGCCAGTATGGGAAAGCCCGTAGCGTCCTAGGAATACCTGGAGCGCCACTCCTCCTGGTTCTGTCTGCCTTCTCCCTTCATCTGGAAGAGCTCCAGGGCTGGCCATCCCCAAGCCACTGAAGGTGACAGTGGCAGCATGAGCCGGTCAAGGCATGTGGGCAAGATCCAGAAACGTCTGGAAGATGTCAAGAACCAGTGGATCAGGCCAGCCAGAGCTGACTTGAGCGACAACGAGAGCGCCCGGCTGGCCACAGATGCCCTCCTGGATGGGGGTCCCGATGCTTACCGGCGCGCGCTCAGCCGGGAAGGGGAGATAGACTTCCTGTCCTCGGAGGAGACCCAGTACATCCAGGCCCACGCCAAGGAGCCCCCCAGTATCCCAGACCCCTCCGGAGGGGCTGAGGGGGCTTCCAGAGGACTAGACTCGAGCTCTCTGCAGTCGGGCACCTACTTCCCTATGGCTTCGGAAAGCATCGAGCCAGCCCTGCTGCACAACTGGACCTGGGCTGAGAAGCCCTACCTGAAGGAAAAGTCCAGCGCCACCGTGTACTTCCAGAGGGACAAGCACAACAACATCAGAGATCTGGTCCGCCGCTGCATCTCCCGGGCCAGCCAGGTACCCACGCAGAGCAGAGCTGGTGTCGCTTGGTCGTGGGCGGGAAGCAAGGCTGGTAGACCCGGGCTAGGGGTACATCCTGCTGTCACCGGTTTGCCCTGGAACACAGACCACTGGTCCCTGGATCCTAGGCCACTGAGGCCCATGCCCGATACTACAGTCTCCTATGTGGGAAGGATAAGTTTCTCTGGGCTCTCTTTGCTCTCTCTGCCTGTCACTCAGCCCTGAGTCCCCTGCAGTCCCTGGCCTTGGCTTCAGGCTTTGGACTATGCTTGTCCCTCACCCTGCTTTCACTCTTTCCTTCCTGCGTCCAAATGAAGGGTGGGGCACTTCATCCGGGCATGTCCTTGTCCCTTTGTTCTCTGAGCCTGTTTAGACCTGGCTGCCCACAAGTGGCCCTGTGGCCCCTATTTTTTGTTTGTTTATTTGTTTTTGCTTTTTTTTTTTTTTTTTCGAGACACAGACTCCGTGGCCCCTGTCTTAAGCTTTTAAGAAAAATGATGACAGGAGGGGGCCAGAGAAAGTTTCCCTCTTGCCGACCTGCTGTTGTCTTAATAAGACAGTGAAGGAGACTGAAATTCCTTCAGAACAAGGGCCCAGCTGGGTAGGACCTCAGGCATCTGTGGCAGACAGGGCAGGAGTTCCCAGCGCCCCTGGGCACTCACCTGCAGTGGCTGGCCCTGTCAGCAGGGGGCTGGGTAGAGGGGCTCACTTTCTGATAGCCCTTCCTTCCCACGGGCTTGTGGGTGCACCCACCCCTCCTTCCTGAAGCTGCAAGGCAGAAAATCTGTCACCCAGGGTTGGGGGTGTGGCTCTGTGGTGGAGTGTTTTGTTTAGTGTGTAAGAGGCCATGTTCACTGATCCCCATTACCGCTGCTGGGGGGGGGTGTCTATAAAGACATACCCCCTGCTTGGGGGGGTCTATAAAGACATACCCCCCTCTCTTCCAACGAGCCCCCGCCCCATGTTGGTTTCCGTCTCATAAAACACTCACTGATATTTGTACTCACTCACTTGTGGCTTTGGTCCTGGGCTCATGCCAGGATACCCTGCCAGGGTCAACATTGTGTGACATCTTAAAGTGCTGGGAAGAGCCACCAAGGCTGGGGGTATGGAGGATTGTGAGGGAGCAGAGTTCCGGAAAATGAAATTGGGCGGAGCCACTGTATGGCGGGGCTGCTTGGGAACTGGATTTCGTGACATGGTTGACATCAGCAGTTGACAGATGATCCCAGACAGGCTTTCAGGAGCCTGGGAAGCCTAGGGCTATCCTGTGACACCTCAGGCAAATGACCTCTCAGGGCTTAGCTGCTATGCTGCACTGAGGTTCCTTTGGGCCTGTTGCTGAGTGCGCTGGCTCTGGTCTCTTGGGTGACTGACTGGTCCTCTCCTAAGGGTTGGGACTTGTGTGCAGGGCCCTCGGCCACAGCTTCAGGGCCAGTGCAGCACCCCGGAAGGAAGCCAGGGCTAGCTGTGAAACCCAGCTCTCTGTTTGAGTAGCCCTGTTTCCTTCCCCACACCTGGCAAGCCCAAGCCCTACTAATGTTCTTTGTATGACTCAGCATGTTATGGATCCTAGGACCCTTGAAAAGCAGCAGGTTTCATCTAAAAGTGTAGACCTCCAGGGCCACTAAGCAGGTAGCAAGACGAAGATAGTCTGGAGTGAGTAATGGTGACCTCTGACTGGGTTCCCTAAATGACCCTGTTGGCAGGGGTCTTCATTCATATTTATTGCTTCCCGTCATCTAAAGGCTGACTCTGTGACATCCTTCACACATGCAAAGCTCATATGAGCAAATGAGCAGCCATTGCAACACACACACACACACACACACACAC